GCGCGCTCCGGAGTCCGACGGCCGCCTGGGAGCGCAGCACGAGCACGAGGCCGCTCGGGCCCTTGCGTTCTCCGTCCCAAGGGCATCGCAGAGGCTGCAGGGGCAGCCGGAGCCCGGCCACCCCAGGGCCTCGCGGTCCCATGTGGACGTACACGTCCACCCGTCGGCGTGGGCTGCCGCCTCCGCTTCTCCTCTATCGCTGCTGGCCAGTCTGGGCGGGGGCACCCCCACGGCGGGCACCCGTGGCCAGCTAGGCAAGTCCTTCTTGAGCCTCGGCCGGGCTGGCCAGTCCCGGCCGCTGCGTCCCAGCCGGAGGGACAGTCTCCGTCTGGCCGTCGCCGGAGGTGCAGCTCTGTGGCGGTGGCAGGAGGCCGTGCAGGGCTGGCTCGTGGCAGGCACGGTCACCTGGGCGGCCCGCTGGACACCGAGGGGCCCCCACGTGGAGTGTGGAGGGGGCCTCACCCCCTCTGCCAGGGCGGGGAGCCCCCAGATCAGAGCCTCCGGCGCCAGCGCTGCCGCCCACACAGGTGTCGTTTTCCCGAGCTGGCACCTGGCAAAGGCTGAGCAGTGGGGACGCCGGGCCCTGTGACCACCCTGCGCAGCCCAGCGGGCTTAGTGCGGCGGCCACCGCATCGCGTGGAGACGCCGGGTCGGAGCCGAGCCCGGCCCTGCAGCCTGGCCCTGCCGTGAGCTGACCACTGACCGCGACTCAGCCCAGACCGCGCCGTCCGCCTGGCCCGGCCCAGGAAGCAGCCCGGCGGCCGCCAGCCAGGGCTCAGCCTCGGGGTCGCCCTGTACGCGCCCTGTTCTGCCAGTCCTGAGGGCCCTCGGGGCCTGTGGGGAGAGATCCCAGGGGCAGCGGGGTGCTGACAAGCCCCGGACACTGCCCCGCAGCTCCCCGGGGCGCCAGGGGCGGGCAGGGTGGCACAGCACCAGGCACGGGACACCCCGGCCAGGCGTGTGGGTGCCCTCACCACCTGCTGCGAGGGCGCTGTGACTTCTTCCTGGCGCCATGGAGGCCGTGCCAGCGCTGGGTCCCGGCCACCCGGGCGGGCCCTGGGCAGCGGCCGGCCCCTGAGCCGGGCGTCCCACGCTGCTCTCGTGGCCGAGACCTAGGCCAGCTCCCTCGGGCCCCTCCGGCCGTGCTCAGCCAGGGGGCGGCTGGAACAAAGCTGGCCGGGTGGGGCCCTGGGCGCAGGCCTCTGGAGTGGACACGGTGTGGGCCAGTCTTCCTTCGGAGCCAGGGCAGCACAGAGCCTGTGGGGGACAGCGAGTCGGGGCCGCGCCCAGCCCCGCCCCGCCCGCCGGACGTTCTTCCGGCGGCCGCTGGAGTCCGGGCGGCTACTACTGTCCCGCGCCCAGCCCCGCCCCGCGCCCCGCCCCTCACGTGTAGGCGTGCATGAGCACTACCGCCAGGCTGCGGATGCCGCGGGACAGGAGCCCCTCCAGCTTCCCCCGCAGGTCCCCCAGGTCCACAGGCCGCTGCACCTCCAGCAGGTCCCCCGTGCGGCCTGCCAGGAAGCCGCAGCACCGGTCAAAGGCCGCCAGGGCCCGCCGCCCCCAGCCCAGGCCCGCGCGTACCTTTGACCGGAGGGCCGGCGCCCGGCTCCCCGCGGTGCAGCACCACCCGCTCCTCCACCTCCACGACCTCTTCGTAGAGCACCTCGGGCATGGGCACGGCCTGGGGGCAGGCAGGGCTCAGGGCGGCCGCTGCAGTCCCGCAGCCGGGACAGGGGAGCAGGCCAGGGGCGTGTGGGCAGGCCCAGCGCACAGGGTCAGGTGGGCGCCCGGGCCATCCCGTCAGGTGGTCACTCTGCCTCCCCGGCCGCGCTGCCGCCCGGGCGTGCCCCCAGAGCCCAGCAGCCAGGGGAGCCTGAACAAGTGGGGGCACCTGATGGGGTGCAGGACGAGGCCTGGTGGCCGAGGGGACAGGCCGCATGCAGGCGCTGGGGTGGGGGCAGAGTCCAGCCCGACGGCCCACAAACTCCTCTGCCAACCAGCTGGGCCCGGGGCACCCCCGCCGCCTGGACGCCTACCAGGTCAAAGAGGTCCTCCCGGGCCTGGGTGCCCACGTGCAGCAGGTCGCGGAAGCCACGTGTCACCAGCAAGGCCACCCGCTCCCCCCGCCGCTCCAGCAGTGCGTTGGTGGCCACAGTGGTGCCCATGCGGATGCTGGCAATGCGGCTGGTGTCCAGGGGGCGGTCGCGAGGCAGCGGCACCCCCCCCTCCTGCAACCACGCAGCTCCGGTCAGGCCTGCGCAGGCCCTCGCCGCCGGCCCTCCCCCACCCCGACCCCACCTGCTCCAGGATGCGGCGGATGCCCTCGGTGGGGGCGTCTGCGTAGTTGGCAGGGTCCTCGGACAGCAGCTTCAGGACCCGCACATGTCCCCCGGGGCACTGGGCAAAGACGTCGGTGAAGGTGCCTCCACGGTCGATGGCAAAGTGGAAGCGTTCTTCGGGGCTGCCCATGGTGGTGCGGCTGGCGTCCAGCAGCGACTCCTCCCCTGGCAGTCCTGGGAGAGCTGGACAGAGGGGTCAGCGGGGCACCAGCCCTGGGCGGGGCTGGGCCGCAGAGGGCAGGGAAACGACCAGGGGGCGGCAGGCCAGAGCTCAGGACCCAGCCGGGAGGGCTGGTGGTGGGCAAGCCAGGCCGGTGCCTGGGTCCCTGTGCACAGACGGGCCTGGGCTGCGCCCC